TTTTATACCTTGCAAATTGCACAATACCTGATATAATTTTTCAGTCAATTTATTAGCACGGTACAGTTCTACACCAACTTGCAGACATTGGAATGGAATCAAACACATATTGCAATATCTTCGCGGCACAACTGATATGGGATTGTTTTATTCAAAGGCACCAAATTCTCAATTAATTGGATATGCAGATGCCGGCTATCTCTCTGACCCACATAAAACTTATTCACAAACAGGATATGTGTTTACCTGTGGTGGCACTGCTATATTATGGTAATCTATGAAACAAACAATGATTGCAACTTCTTCAAATCATTTTGAAATACTCGCAATTCATGAGGCAAGCAGGGAATGCATTTGGTTGAGGTCAATGATCCAACATATTCAAACAACATGTGATTTCTCATCAATAAAGGAAAACCCAACAGCATTATATGAAGATAATGCGGTATGCATTGAATAGATGAAAGAAAGGTATATTAAAAGTGACAAGACCAAACACATCTCACTAAAATTCTTTTATGCACATGAACTCTAGAAAATGGATGATATTGATATTCAGAAGATACGTTCATGTGAAAATCTAGTAGATCTATTCACTAAAACGCTTCCAACTACAATATTCAAGAAGCTGGTACACAGCATTGGAATGCGTCAACTAAAGGATCTTCAGGGTTAAACTAACGATGGGGAACAATTGATCAAAGAGGTATTGGCATGCTGTACTCTTTTTCCTTCGCCCAAGTTTTGTCCCACTGGGTTTTTCTGGCAAGGTTTTAATGAGTCAATTTTTAATCTATGCAATACCATTTTCAGATACACAAGAATACTGTACTCTTTTTCCTTCGCTAAGGTTTTGTCCTATTGGGTTTTCCTTAGAAATGTTTTAACGAGGCATATTCTTAGTGTAGTATTGTGGACCCCAAAAGGGAGTGTTATATATATATATAATTGTGTGGGGTCCAAATGGATTAAGTAATCTCCGAGGTCACTTTTTTGCGTAGAGGACAAGGCTACATTGGTGGCTTATCAGGGAAGCTAAACTTTGAGCCTATATAAGGCATGTATGTGTACTATTTAAAGATATACTAAAATAAAAGATTTTTTCTCTCTCTCTCTCTCTCGCTCTCTCTCTGAAAGTTCCTTCTCATTTCTATAATTAATATTACTCTATAGATATATATACACATACATATATTTATTACAGATACAAGTATTTAAGCTAATTTATCACTCTCTCTCTCTCTCTCTCCCTGAAAGTTCCTTCTCATTTCTATAATTAATATTACTCTATAGATATATATACACATACATATATTTATTACAGATACAAGTATTTAAGCTAATTTATCAAAGAAAAAGAAAAGAGAAAAAGAGAAATAAAAGGTAGATAAAAGTACTTGAGCTCATTTATCAAGAAAAAAGATAATGCTTTAAGAAAAAAGAAAATAAAATAAAAAGAAACAGAAAATAAAATAAAATATATTTTTTTTTTTTCAAATTCGTATAATAACGCTTTAAAATATGATCCAAAACAAAAAAAATTAATCAGTGAAATTAAAAGTCAAACAGCTTTTAAAAAAAAAAAAAAAAAAAGGTGATACAAACATCAAGTCGGGGGATCACCACTGTCAGTAGTACTGTAGTATCCGTCTTCCCGCTTGCGGGTCCACCATTTTCAACCACGCTGACGCAGCCGATTCTGGTGAGCACACAGTTTTTATTGACATCAATTTGGAAAATGTGACCTCCAGTTTACAGTTACGTGTTTGGTAACTTCGCGTGGGTCTCTTAAACATTTCAAGGAGAGAATTGGAAGAATCTAGTGGTGTTAATGGGTTGGGCCTGTGTGTGGGCCCAGCTTAAAGTATGAATGACAAATTCGGGCCCTTTACATTTTCTTGGAGTCCTAGGATTCAAAGGATATTGGCTCAAGCCCAAATCAGCTTAAATAGCTCATCCCTTTTCTTAAACCCCAATATCACAGCCCTTTTTCAAAATTAAGTGTATTCACACCTTTTGTGAATTGATTTTCCATCCACTCATGTGCACATTAGGCCAATCATGAAGCGACACATAAATAAATGTGTTAATTTTATATAATTTTTAATTAGCTTTTTGTTTATATATCATTTTATGATTTGGTCCCTAGACCATATAATAATTTCTCATTCAACAGAGTGATTTTCACTCTCTTTTAGTGCACATGATGTCTAGATAGTCCAAATTGTACGGAAGAGGATCCGAATTCCAATACCATGTCCCTTCTTCAAATTCTAATCATTAATAAGGATTTATTTGAAGTTAATATATTTTCCTTTCTATCCTAATGATCAGTTGGACTAGCTTCCAATGATTATGTGACATTGTGGGAATAGAAATGAACTGTTGGAATGGATGAGAATAAATGGAATGGTCCATGCTATAGTTAGTGTAATCACTTTCACAGTATGCTATTGGCATCATCTCTAATCATCATCATCTCTAACACCAACAAAATGCTTAAAGACATATGCCCACATGTTAATGCAAACCACAAGCCCATTATTCCTTGGTTGAAGCCCACTGTGGGGTCAATTATTAAACTCACTTTGATCAATTAAACGACACTATACTCAGAATCTGAACACTTTAGATAGGATAGATGCCATTTAGAATGGAAATTCAAATCGAGAATGTTAATCGAGTACTTTTTATAGAATAAGATTAAAGTTTTGGTCGTATCTAATACGGATAGATAATTTTCAATTATTATTTTAGCTGTTAGGTGTAAGAATCTCCTAATCTCTTTGTAAACAATTTATTGATTACATTTCATATTTGTGAGACACTAACAATATTAAGTGGCAATTGTTTATGCAAGGCCAAATCATAGAAACAACATGTGGTAGTACTTATATGTAGGCCTGATCACGGTTCGGATCGGTTCGGTTTGGGATAAAGATCAAGTCGAACCGGTCCCCACGGATTGGCAAAAATTGAAACCGAATCGATCCGTGAGGGCCTTCAATCCGAACCAAACCGATCTGTGAAGTAACGGATCGAATCGGTTCGGTTTCTGCGGATTATGCTGATTGGGCTTTGTCAATCTTGTTCATTTTTTTTTAAAAAATATAAATACAAATCAATGATTTTTACAGGGAAAAAGAAGAGTCCAATGTCCATGGCAGCAAGGAAACCCTAAAAGAAAAAAAAACACAAAGAATCAAAATTTTAGAACAAGCAAAACACCTCCTCAATCCAAGATAGAGTTTCATATGGGTCTATTTTCCAATGAAAAAATTTAACTTTACATCTTGGGAAGGATTAGGGCAATGGAGCCCTCCGTGATGGCGTACACAGTGGAGCTTGAAGCCACACAGTTACAGTTCAGCCACGGGATGGCCGTCGGCGGCATCGTCTTCTAGAATAAGAAGATCTATCACCGTGTTATGGTGATTAACAGAAAATAATAAATATTGATGTTATTTACAAAAAATGTTCAGAGAAGAGGAGAATAAGAAGATCCATGCAAAAATTTTGTGAACTCACCGAAAAAGAGATAGATCAGCTTGAAGAGGTCGCCATTGCTTCGATATGTAGAGGTCGCCGTTGCTTCGAATTTGGTGAACGATGGATTGAGAGGTGATGGATTGAGAGGTGAGAGATTGGGAGGCGATTTGCGAAGAGTAAACAAAAACAGAGGTGAAGAGTGAAGAGTTAAGACTGTCACAGAGGCGAAGATAACGTCTAGAGAAGAGGGTGAAGAGAGGAGAGGGTGGAGAGAAAAGGCGAGAGAGGCGCGGCTAATGAAATGAGATGCCAGATCAGAGTAGTGAGTTATTTGGGAGCTAGGGTTAGAATAATGAATTAAAAAAAAAAAGAAAAAGAAATAAGGCAATAAGTATATATATATATATATATATATATATATAAAATTCACGGTTCGGTTCGGATTGACTGACGGTTCGGATTGGCGACGGTTCGGTTCAGATAGGTTAACGATTTGGATCGGTTTTTTCAGGAACCAATCCGTTAACCAAACCGCGAACACCGGATTGTAAATTTTTCAAACCATCACCGAACCATGAGATATGAAAACCGAACCAAATCACACGGATAGGATTGGTTCTGACCGAATTGTCGGATTATTTGCTCACCCCTACTTATATGTTATCACAAACTAACGGTAACATAGTAAATTAGACGCGGGCTCAAATATTATTGTTTGTTCAATTAAAACAATATACTACACTATACAAAAACAAAAACAACACTACATAAAATTCGGGTGATTGTTTTTGTATAGTGTTGTTTTTTATTTTAATACATATATATATTGACTTAAGTTATAGGTTGACAATGAGAGCCAAGAGAAAATTTATCATCACCCGAATTTTATTTTGTTGCACTGTTCCATAATGAAAACTAAGAATTAAATTAGTTCAAATCTAAGTCACACAAATTTTTGTCGTTCTTACACTCCATGCACGTTTTTACTCTCGTTATCACTTTATGTGACTTAGATTTTACCGCTCTTGCTCTCGCATTTTGTTACTTAAGTTCAAACATTTAGTCCTTATTTTCAATTTTAATATAAATCATTGGACTTACTCATGTGAATTGTAAAGAGTGTTTTTCTTAAGCAAAACACGTAACCCATTTTATTTTTTTTCTTGAAGCAAAACTCGGCAGCATTTCATGAAATTAGATAAAAATCAGTTCAAAGTATGGTACCGAACATAACCTAAATGAACCAGAGACTAGCTAGTTGTTACAACTTAATAACACAACTCTTCTATTAATAAAATCATATATATATCCCCGAAAAATTTGGTAATGCAAATTAATTCAGTAATGGTGTGGATATAATTACAATCACTTTTCAGTCTTTTTCAAAAGGATATAATATTACCAAAAAATTGAATATTACAATGAAAAGTACTTTCTCAACATCAAATCATCAATCTCTCAGATAATTCGTTCTCTGATCATCTGGTTGGCGACATTACAAAATTTCAGTCTCCATGAATATATATGTATATAAAATAAAGCACACTTCCATTGAACATCAAAAGAACAGGAGGAAAAAGTGATCCATGTTGGGGCACATCAACACAATATTAAAACCATCCATGATACAACTTTGGTATTATTTTCTAAGAAACTATATTCTATACAAAAAATAAAATAAAATAAAATAAAATCTTGAATACTTTGAAAAATCATGAACGCTCTCATTAAGCTTCGCTTGGTGTCTCAAAAATGCTCTCTAAATGAGGCCTCCACACACCTACCCGTCCTCGCCTTAGATCTTTATGTGTTGATAACTTCTCTGACAGGATTTCACTCAAGTATCGATCGGAAACGAGAAAATTGGTCATAGAAACACTGCTGCTGCTATTGTTGTTGTTGTTGTTGTTTGAGTTGGTCTGAGCATCTCTCTTTTTCTTGCTGCAGGTTGATGATCGGGAACGAGTCTTTACGGGTTTTGAAGGAACGGGCATGAGAAAGTAGATCTTCCCACGTTGGAGTTGTTCATCAGGTGGCAAGATCATGATCTTGGGACAAACCCCATCGTTGGATGAAGATGAAGGCTTCTTCAACACGTGCTTCGGATGCGCCTTCATGATCTCTGCTGCTCGGATTGTCCCGGTTATCTCTTCCACTTCGCCATTTGCATGTACTATCCGAATCACATCTAGTGCTCCACATGGAAGAATGCAAGATATGAAGCATCTAATGGTGTTCTTCATGGCTACCTAGCTCCTTCTCTCCCTCTCTCTCTCTCTCTCTCGATCTCCCTCTATAGTTATACGGAGAGAAGAAGAAAAAGAGATATGGAAGTGGAGGAAAGTGGAAATACAAGAAAGAGGTCTCTCTTCCCTTGCCGATCATCTGAGGGAGAGTATTTTTTTAGTAATCTAATTGGTAAAATGTTCAACTCTCTATCTGTGTCTTAATCTCTTATATATTATAGCTTTTCCGGTTTATTTTGAATTTTCTGCTTTTGGTATGGAATTTCTTAGTTGCCTAGGATGAATTCTATGGGATGAATGATTGCACCTTAGTCTGTAGACTCTGTACGCCTTTTGCATCCATTATTAAAGGGGCCCTCGCATTCCCTTACCATTTTCAATAATTTAGGTTAGGTGTGAAGGTGGGCCATTTGATACACATATTAATATGTGATTAGGATGGCCATGTAGGCACAAACGAGACATAATGGAAAGGGAGGGGTGATTTGGAAGACAAGTGTTTGAATCACAACATGACAAGTGGTACAATTCATTTGAATCCACTAGGTTGCAGTAGGTGAGGAAGCTATTGGTGTAGGGTCCAAATTGTTTGAGAGACCCGCGGCCTGGTTTTGTGGATTCAGAAATTGTTAATGGAGTGTATTAATATTTTTTTAGGTGGACTAATATTAATAATTTTTTTTATTTTTTATTTTTTTTATTGGACTAAAATTGCCTATATTAAATTTTTTTTTCGAGATGGGCTTAAGTTTATCAGAACCTATCCTTACATCTGCCCTTGCTCTCTAGCACAATGCGAGATCTGATGCGACGATATTTTGATGCACACATAAAATTTTACATTCAGACACAACACTCATTGAATTAAAATGTCAAGAGCAATATCGAAAATGTTAGTATTACCGATGTACTAATATTGTAATAGTAGTGTTGTATTTCATTCTCAATATAATTATGTTGCGTTAGTTATAGTATTGCGTATCAACATAAGATATGGTGTATACATCAAAATAATGTCATATTGATGCACTTGAAAGTATTATACCTTTCCTTGTACAACAAAAAATTTAAATCAATCTGTTTGGTTCAAATTTTCAAAAACAACATTCTGTTTTCAAAAATAGTATTATGTTTTCAAATAATTAAAAATAAAAAATTGTATAGAACTTTAATTAAAAAAAATACTCCATATGTTTTTAGAGAAATATTTTTTACAATTATTTGAAAATTATCTTTTAATTTTTTTTTTCTTTCACTAAGGTCAATGAAGTGATTTGACTAATATAAAGTTGGTAGGCCTGTTTTTCAAGGTGAATGTAAACCAACACACTCTAAGATGCGCGTGGAACATACAATTTACAGTCTCACAGTCTACAACATTGCCTCTAAATAGATTTTAACACACTAAAACCTTTCTCTGTGAAGCACGGTTCATATCTATCTGGACTAATGCAAATTGATATTTTTCAGGCTCCCTTTTTCAAGTTGAAAAATCGCTTTATACATTCTGACATGCAGCAATTTTGTGGGCCATGATTAAATTTGCTAAACTCGCGTTTGGATTAAGAGATTTGGAGAGACAGTGAGAGACAAGAAAATAAAATAGTATAAATTATATTTGAATTGTTTAAAATGAGATAAATGAAGGAATATGAAGAGGTAGGGAGGATTAGTTATTCCAGATAGTTATTTCCCATCATTCCTCCTACCCTATTTTTTAAAAAATGATAAGATAAGGAAAGAACGAATAGTGTTTAAGTGATTGTCTAATTATTTCGAAATTATCCTTAATAATTAAAAGAAGAAAATTATATCACGTTTCATATATTTAAAAGAATATAATAATAATTTAGTTGTTATCATTTCTTTTGTCTGTGTATCATATTTCTCCTCATCCATCTTATCCTATCTTTCAAAAAATAATAAGATAAGGAGAGAACTGATAGTGTTTAAGTGGTAGTCTAATTATTTCGAAACTGCCCTCAATAATTAAAAAGAGAACATAATATCACGACCCATCTATTTAAAAGGATATTATAATAATTTAGTTATTATCATTTCTTTTCTCTCGTGTATCATATCCAAATAAGAATACTAGCATATGTAAGGGTGGCAATTCGGGTTCGCGTGTCATAAGCGAATCGTGTCGAACTAGGGTTATAACACTAAACAGGTCAACCCGAACACGATACGATTAATAATCGTTTCACATATTCTGAACCCGAACACGATATGTTTATTAAACGGGTAACACGACACAACACGTGTAACCCATTTAATAAACAAGGGGTATAACACTAAACAAGTCAACCCGAACATGACACGATTAATAATCGTTTCACATATCCTGAACCCGAACACGATATGTTTATTAAACAGGTAACACGACACAACACGTGTAACCCATTTAATAAACGAGTCGTGTTAGACACACTAAACACGACCTGTTTAACAACCTATTTAACATATTTACCTGTTTAACTTGTTTAACCTGTTTACCCGCTTAACCTGTTTAAGGTGTTTACCCGCTTAATCTGTTTAATATGGCTAAGGATTAAAATACTAGCAAATTAAAATACTAACAAACATTACTAGAAATTTTGTATTATAATGATGTAGTCCAAAAGAGAAATTAAAAGCCAAAGATAAAGATTAAGTCACAAGTCATAAGTTACAGACTGAAATAAAAATAAGTCATAAGTTATTACCGACCAAAATAAAAATATTTAATAAAAATGTCAAGGTAACATGCAATCTTCTTAAAAGAAAAAAGATCCACAACTCAAAAACTTCCTTTTACAATCTGCATGCACTCTTTTCTGAAACACTCAAAAGTACAAATTCCTACAAAACAGGTAAGTGTAAAATAAGTTTAGATAAAAAATAAAAAAAAAGAAAAAAAAAAGATTGAAATATAAAAGAATGCATGTAACATATGCAGTGAACAACAATAATAATGAAAAAAATAAATATATTTATCAACCAACAATAAATATTTGAGACACTGATTCACGACATTGCACCTACAAACACAGATGGAATAAAGGTCATGAGACACTGCTTGGCTACCATAGTGTTTTTGCATGACCTCAGCATTTTCCAAATACAGCAGACCCTCCTTCCAAGCACATGGGTCAAAAGTTATCAAATTCATTGTATGATTAATAAGACAAGAAATACAAAAAACATTCAAATTATCGCCACAACAACCTGTCTAAAAACAAAGTTATCACCATATTAGTATTATATACAAAAAGAACTAATAATAGATCTCTCTTATGCATGGGACAAAACAAGTCCACCAACGGAATTACACATCAACAAAGTTTTTAATTCACAGAACCATTTCAATTTCACAATTGAACACAACCAAATTGATTAGTACAACAACAGATTCAATTCAACTAAAACTTAAGCAAAGCTGAGACTTCAATTAGTCTCGATTTCAATAATATCCAAATTAATTAACAACAACAATTCTTTAAAACAGACAACAATCTTCATTTTACAACCATGAATTACCCAAATTATAACAATATATATATAAATGTATGATGAGAATGAGCCCATCTCCTCCAAGCCTGTGGTACCAATGGCATGACTCAGTACTGGGTCACAAACAGTGAGACACCCCAACACGAGTACCACTGTACCACCATGTGACAGATACAAATGATTTCTAGAACTACAAGTCATGGTCAAAAATCTGCAATAGCAGCTTTAAAAAAAGAAGAAAATAAGAACTGCAATTCAGACTTTGGTTTTAAAATCATCAATCAAGTCATCTAAAAAACAACAATAATAATGAAAAAAAAATTAGATAAAACTTGTTTCAAAATAGATCTGAAAGAAAAAAAATTAAAGAAAACTCGTTTCTAAGTAGATCTGAAAGAAGAAAGATAAAAAAAAAAAATCGAACTCTTGTTGTTTCAAAGTAGATCTGAAAGAGAAAAAACAAAAAATTAAAGAAAAGTAGAAAACTTACTTCGATTGTTCAAGGTTTGTGTTCTTCGCTGGTTGCTCGAAGTGTAGACTGTACTGATCTTGGTCGCTCGAAGTGTGGTGTGGTTATTGTCGATTCAGCGATTTAGCGATTCAGAGAGAGAGGAAAGAGGAGAGACCGATAGAGAGACTGAAGAGAGAAAGAGGCGCTGCCGCTGTGTAAAGAATGAGTCTAAAATCTAAATCCGTAAATCGTTTGATATATAATATATATTTATATAAGGGCAAATTTCTCAAAACCCCCAAAACTATCAAAAAGTGATCATAAAACCCCAACCAGTTTTAAAACCTCAAACAATATAACAACATTATCATTTTACCCCAACTCTGTCAATTGGCCCCGTTAACCCAGCGCGTGATTTACAATTGCTTTGACAAATTAACTTTTGTGATGAAAATATCCCTATTATCACATGTGCCAAACAAGTGATGTGTATTTAAATATGTTATACCAAAAATTCCCCAAGCTTCTAATAGTAAAAACCCACAAAAGTCTACGTACTCATCTCCATTTTTGCTTCACCTCTCAACTTCTTCATCTCCATTTTTTTTTTTCTTTCTCACAAACAAACACCAAATTCCTCAAAAACCACCACTGAAATGCCACTAACTGGTAGTGCGCAACAATCAATCAGATCCCTAGCATTTTCTAGGGTTTTATTTCCGTAATAAACCCTAGCCAGCCGCCACCATGCACGACTACAGCCGTCTAAGCAGCGGGAGGTCGTCCACCCCGTCGCCGCCGTCTTCGCCTCGGTTCCGCCATGGCCGCAGCAAGCACGCTACCAGCTGTGTTGTCAGCGGGGGAGGAGGTTTCCGGGGGGTCGGTTCGGAGCCGAAACTGCAGAATTTCGTGGAGCCGTTGGTATTTGCTCTTAGAGGTTGTTAGCAAGGATGGTGGCGGCGGCGGCGAAAAGGCACCACCTGCGTCTGTGTATCGGAGTCCTCAAGTTTTGGAGAAGCTGTGGCCGTTCATGGAGGCGGAGTGCAATGAGAGCTCTAATGCAGTATTTATCCTCTACTGCCATTTGTTTATAATATATGTGGAAATTATTATTGGAATGCTAAGATTGTTTGGTTACATTTGAAAATGAGTTAATCAATTTCTACAATATATGTGTGTTTATATGTTGATTAGAAGGTAGGAACTATCGGATAAGCACATAAAGTCCAGCAATTATGATTTGTTTTGTTACATGCCAAGACGTAATAATTCATTTCCATTTTAATATAGAAACAGTAGCATACTAGTAACAGGAAGATAAGTAAAGGTAATCTGTGAAGGAATTTGGCTCTTCAGTCTCTACTGAATTAACTTGCACTCCCAGTCTCGACTAGCTCACAAACCACACCCTTGCTCCCTCAGTTACAATCTCCCTAAGTATAAGCCACACTTCCCGCAACAGTTTGACGAAATCCACAATTTTCTTCACTCATGACACTCATAACTCACCAAATTTGCTTCTTTTTTTTTTTTTTTTTTTTTTTTGATACATGAGCTCCACCCAAAATTTTGATCTTATTGGAAATTTTCAAGCACCAGTGAAGAACTCCATCAACATGAAGACCGGCAAGACCCAGAAGTTTAAACACCATGAACTCCAGCGAGCTTCAGTTCAGTACAGAGATCAACCAATCACCGAAAACAGTTCATGCGAGCCCCATCAATAGACCTAGAAGTTTCGGCGTGCTCCTGTTTAGGCAAACTTCAGTTTTGGTGCGTCAATCCAGCGAGAAGTTCCGTTGAACTTCAAAGACAGCGAAGCTTCAATCTTCTCGACCCAACTGCAGTAACCAGAAGTTCAACTTGAGCTTCATCGTTCAAACTCCATGTTTTTCGTCGTGATCAATTTCGGCGAACCTCCATTAACCAATCGCCATGAACAGTTTGCACTGGGAATGGGAGGACTCTAAAAGGATGAGACTTGAGCCAAGTCAGATACATATAGTGTTATATATATAGAGAGAGAGTGTGTTTGTGTGTGTTATTTTAGAGAGAAAGGGGAGGATTGAAGGTGGGGGCAGATGAGGCAATGGAGGGGGAAGAGAAGGGAGATGATAGCAACAAATCAAAACCCAAAAGTAGAGGATAATTTTGTAATTTGTAAATTATAAATTTTTGTTTTTTTAAATAAATTGGAATATCATAAGGGTAATTTAGTCATTTCACATTTCCTTAACGGCCAATTGATAAAGTTGGGGTAAAATGATAACGTTTTTATATTGTTGGGGGTTTTTAAAACTGGTTGGAGTTTTATGATCACTTTTTGATAGTTTTGGGGGTTTTGAGAAATTTGACCTTTTATATAATAGGGTTTGTTATGTAATCATGAAATGACCAAAATGTTCTCTACTAATCAGGTTAAAATAGGTAACGGGTTAGACAGGTTCACGAGTGACACATTTAATTAAACGGGTATAAATGGATTACACGGGTTGAGTCACAAAACCTGAACACGACACGTTTAACTAAACAGGTTATTCGTATCAACCCGTTTACGACACAAATCTGTTTGTGGTAAACCCATTACCCATTTAATTTGTGTCGTGTTGGCGGGACGTGTCGAACTTTGTCACCCCTAAAATTCATATCCAAATAAGAATACTATTATTTCTTTTCTCTTATATATATCCAAACATGAATATAAATTATTACTATATTTTATTTTCTCTCATAATTAATATTATTCTTTGGTTTTTTTTTTTTTTTTTTTTTGGTGGTCTCTTCTGTGTATCGAAATAAGTTACTGAGAACTTTGTAATAAATTTGATTTTTGCCTACTAATTATATTGGTAAATGTACCATCGAATACATGGGCCACCCGTTAAATGTTTTAGATGTAGTCTGCTGGGCAACATGTGAAAGTACTCAGGGGAGGGTCCATGTGGGCTGGGATCAGATCAAACCCCATCACATAATCCAGGACTAACCAGTTGGATTTGTAGCTCTCTAATCATATCATTATAAGGGCTTACAATCTTTTTTGTTTGACTATTTATTTATTATTATTTATTTGTGACGTGAATGTGACAGATTGGGGATGAGACAACCCTTTTCAAACTCGTCCCACTAATAAAAATATTTTTTCAAATCTGATTCAGGCATCTTCATTGGAGTCGCAACGGGTTTGAAATACCCCAGTATACATATTTTTTTACATTGCAATATATATATATATATATATATATATATATATAGATCCATGGATGGTTTTAGAGGTCTGTTTTTCAATCCTAAGACGATAACAAAGATTCATGGATGATCATATTGGTTATTGTACGTATTACTTGTATTACTACTTCTAAAATTCTTTTTTTTTACTCCACATTGGTGGTAAAATATACAATATTTTATTGAATAATCTTACTAATCAAAACATCTCATTTACCTTGATTATACAAAATTGAGTGTTTTGAGAAAATTTTGTTTGAAATGATTGTATGATGCACTTCACTCAGTAGTGGTGGGATTCACTTTTTTTTGTAAGGTTCACCATGTACTCGGCTCAAACAAGTTTTTATCGAGTTTTGTTTGAATGGATATTCATTAACCGTTAGACAAAGTTGGTCTGGGCTCAAGTTGGAAGCCAACAATTCTGATATGGACTATGGTCACATTAAAAGGTCTAATGGGCCCATAAAAATTGTTGGTCGGCTTTGATTTTTTGATTTTTCCAACCGAGTAAGTTGGGCCTAAGGTCTCTCGGATATGTATCTCTCTCTACAATATATATATATATATTTTAATAAGTCTCTTTTTCTTTATTCTCAAGTTCTCATTCATTAGACTTTTCAAAAAAAAAAAAAAAAAGTTCTCATTAATTAGAATTAAACTGGTGTCATAAATCTATAGTTTTAAAGTAAACAGTAAGGAAATGCTTTATTTTATTTTTTTTCATAAATCTTATGGAAATGCTTTCAGTATGTTCAAAAAATATAGATTGACTAGCATGTGAAAAGAACCTGGAAATTTTTGCACTTTTAAAATGTAAAAATTACTTCTCATGATTTTTAAAAAAATTTAAATATAGACTCGGTTTGTTTTGACGTAAAATATTTTTTTTTAAAATATTTTTTTTATTTTTTTGGTATTTGGCTCGACCTCAACCTCTATGTAGACCTTTGTCAAATACCGATAAAATAAAAATAAAATAATATTTTATCTGAAAAATAATATTTTTTTAAAAAATATTTTAGGTCGAAACAAATGAGAACCGTAAGTTCAAAAGGAAAAATGAGTTTTTTAAGACAAAACATCTCTAACCACTTAAAAGAAAAGAAAAGAAAAGTGAGAAAGAAGATGAAGTGTGTTTTTTTGATGAAGTGTTGTTTTTGTAAAAATACATTTCATTTTGATCACCTCTAATATTAAGTTTTTTTACTCTTTTTTGAAATAAATAAAAAATAAAAAATCTCTTCAAACTTGTTCTTCAAAAAATAAATCAACAAATTCTTTTATGCGTGTGTGGTTTTTTTTTTTTTTTTTGAATAAAAAAATTTGGATACCAGATATGCCCTTATACTTCTAAGATAAACCCCCAATTCACAGTCCCGATAATTGAGATGAACAAACTCGTAGTAGTGCTGCTGATTCAGCTGAACACAAAGCAGAAGCAACACCCCAATTAGATCTCCCCAAATCCAAAACCCTAGAAATAAATACAGTAATCAATCAATCAATCATGCCATTCTTCAAAACCCCCTTCAATGGCTACTCTGTCAAGTTCAGCCCCTTCTACGAGCACCGCCTCGCCGTCGCCACCTCCCAGAACTTCGGCATCCTCGGCAACGGCCGCCTCCACGTCCTCGACCTCTCCCCCTCCGGACCCATCTCCCAATTCGCCTCCTTCGACACCGCCGACGGCGTCTACGACCTCGCCTGGTCCGAGTCCCACGACTCCCTCCTAGTCGCCGCCGTCGCCGACGGCTCCATCAAGCTTTACGACCTCTCTCTCCCAGCCTCCTCCAACCCAATTCGCTCCCTCCACGAACACACCCGAGAGGTCCATTCCGCCGACTACAACCCCGTCCGCCGAGACTCCTTCCTCTCCTCCTCCTGGGACGACACCGTCAAGCTCTGGACCGTCGATCGACCCACCAGCGTCCGTACCTTTAAAGAACACGCCTACTGCGTCTACTCCGCCGTTTGGAATCCCCGCCACGCCGACATATTTGCCTCCGCTTCCGGGGACTGCACCGCGCGCGTCTGGGACGTGCGCGAGCCGGGTTCCACCATGATCCTCCCGGCACACGAATTCGAGATCCTCTCGTGTGATTGGAACAAGTATGATGATTGTGTGATTGCCACTGCTTCAGTGGATAAGTCAATTAAGGTGTGGGATATTCGGAATTTTCGGGTTCCGGTGGCTGTGCTCAATGGCCATGGTTATGCTGTGAGAAAGGTGAAATTTTCACCTCACCGGGGCAGTTTGATTGCGTCGTGTTCGTATGATATGTCGGTTTGTTTGTGGGATTATATGGTGGAGGATGCTCTCATTGGGAGGTATGATCATCATACTGAGTTTGCAGTTGGGGTGGATATGAGTGTGCTTGTTGAAGGGCTTTTGGCTAGCACTGGATGGGACGAGCTCGTATACGTTTGGCAGCACGGGACTGACCCGAGAGCACCTTAAAAGGGAAGTTCTAATTCCTTTGTTTTGATTTTGGATAGAATTTGCATATTTGAATTGAGAAATGATGAATTATGTATACACTTGTAGTTTTTGTGTTGTGGAATAATTATGAATTTTGTTTCAGTAATGATGTTAGCACAGAACTTGTTGAATAATCCACCATTATTGTTAATCTCTATTGAACAAAAGCTAATGTGATTCCATGATCAATGAAAAAGTGAATTTTGTTATCAACCAAATGTTATTGTAGTTTGGGATTGGCTTAGTGTTAGATGTGGTAGCATATACCATTTATTTGGTTGCTGGAACAAATGTTTGGATAGTGAAGGAAAATGCTAGCGGAAGGAAACCATTTTGAATGTTTTGGATCTATCCCTCACTCTTCAAGTACCATTGTACCAATGCAGCGATAGAGAATATAAAGCCATGAGTGCTTCACTACTAAATTTATATCACATCCCTGTTGTTAAACAACAACTAAAATTGTGAGTTGTTAACTCTTAAGTGATTATTAGATGTAGATTTTTGTTAGAACTTCCGTGGGTTATATCCTAATTTGTTTTGAAATGTGTTAAGTATCTGAACTGGGCGCATTTTGTTGCATTGATATTGGACGGGTAACTGATTGGAATTTCTAGCAAACAAAGTTAGGATCACAATCAAAGCCCAAAATTTATCTGGAATCTGTTCTGAAGTGAGTTAAAAACCTCAATTGGCCACGTTATGTTACATTTTACATTGGGCTTGAAAGTGGGCATTTCTAGCAAGTCAAGATTGGTTCAAATCCTAGTTTTATGTTTTCTAGGATAATAATTTGATCTTCACAAAAGCATTGAAGTACTTAACTGGCTACATTATCTATCTCTGACAATTTCATTTATCCTAAGGTACATAAAAAGAGATTTGGACACTGGTGTGATGATTTAAATTTAAGTTTATTATGATTTGGCACTTGATTGTACACCTATGGCAGCATATGTCTCGGCTCATTTATCATAAATACACATTATGAAAGATTTTCTTGGATATCTTGAACCCTGGGTAAGGGTGTTAGTATATTTTTCAATGCGAGAACCACTTCTCCTTTAGGTAATAAGCATCTAATTTCTTTGGGCAGATATTTGAAGGCATCTGTCCACACACACATACACTAGTAAAAATGCTCGTGCATGTATTTAAATATCTCCATATTTATTTTGACAATAAATAATAAATAGTAATATAAGTGAAAAAACTAATAAAATAATAAAATCAAATGTCATGAGTTAGATAATCGCCAAATGTTTTAGTCCTTCGGAGATTTGGTAGAACAACATAAATATAAAAGAAAAGATGATCTGAAATGAACAAAACATTTGTGTAAGTAAAAGGAGAGAGAATTTCTGATTAATTAGAATTTTTGTTCAAAGATAGAGCAAGAGGGTTTCTGGATAAATAAAAAAAATTCTTTGTATGCATTTTTTGATGGTCAATTCATCCACTATTTATAGACATTGACATGCCTATTCTGAATGAACACCTCTCTGAAAAAGTTAACTAATACAAATAGACATTGCTTGTGCTTAAATTTCTTGCTAACGGTAAGAATATCAACCAGCTATATATATCTTTTAAAAATACAAAAATATATATTTAAATAAAATAAAGAATCTATTGACATTTATGTAGTAGTGTAGGTATGGATATATGTTCCATCTACCTTATCTTCTTTTAAGGTTTAAAAGTCAACCTTGCATTTTTCAATTTGTTACAATGAGAAAGCTATCAAAGAGGTTAATTTTAGTGGCTTGCTAATTTATTTAGATGTTTAAAGGAAAAATTAGAAAACCTTTTTAATTCCTCTCATTGTTATAATTTTACAAATGAACTTTATCTTTAGCATTATTGCGAGAGGAAATCATATGTTTGATAATCCATAACGTCACTAAATGGTGTGGTTTTGGCATGATGGTTGGGAGACGCTGCGCTCGGGTTAGTTTTCCCAGACCTCTTTTTTGTTAAAACAGCGGGTAAGGAGCCATGGCTTACAATTATATAAGGTTGTCCCGTAGACAGGGTATTTTGGGGTTACTATTTTTGTGAGGGCTGTTCAAGATTGGGAACTAGAGTCCATAGATATGCGCTAAGGTACTTGGTTGCAGCCCCTTCACTCTTTCATGCTTTCTCTTAATTTATATATAAACATATTTTTTTGGTATCTACTTGTCTAACATAAGGCAGAGGCTAGATCTGGATGGACTTGGCCTCTAGGGTTCATTGTGACAAGTTCAGGGTTGGAAATTTCTATGGTCTTCGGAATTAATTGGAGAACAATTGTTGAGAATGTCCGGAAGCTAATGGTAAGATGAAGACCTGTCATAATTTTGGTAATAATTAATTTGGAAAGAAACGCAAGAACAAACACAAAAATGCAAATGCTCTTTATAATTAGGACATGCTAGGAAAAAGGATTACAGAAAATTTCTTTGCTTATAGTTGTTAATGGAAATGTTATCATAATGAACTCTTATGCTATGTTCGGTAGGAAAGAAAAAAATTGGATGGAATGGAGAGAAGAAGGGATGGATGAGACATCCATGGAGAAGAGATTATGTATTTCCTTCTTTTTTGTTCGGTTAAATAGAAGAGAAAAAATAAACTCATAATTTACTATGTTCGTTAGGAGAGAAAGAAATAGAAAGTTTAATTGTTTTTACCATTGTATCAAATAATATTTATAATATTATAATTTATAAAGGATAGTACTGTAATTTAAAACTTGTATAATTTAAGATTATATTTAATTTAAAACTTCTATAATGGTCTACTTGTTTTCCCTCCTTTCTTCTGCCCATTTTTGGACGGATGAAAATTTGTAAAGAAAGAAGGATAGGTCATCCTTCCTATTCTTCTTTCTTTCCTTGTATCATCTCTGCCGAACAAATGATGTTCATTCCTTCCTTCCTATTTTATCTCCACACCCCTTCCTTCCTTCCTACTTAACCAAGCATCAATCTGTTGGATTAATTTTGTTTTCTTTGAGCAGCTAGTTTAGGTGTTGCAGGTGGTAATTTATATGCCAAATAGTTGAGTGAAAAAAAGTCTAGAAAAGATTCTTTAATTGAGCAAGGGGGAGTCTTCAAGGTATTGTTGCTTTCGGGGTTTCTTCTACATGTTGAGTGTTCTTTAATTTTTTCCGATCACCTTGTGTAAATGAATTAATTCAGTCAAAATTGTAGCAGTTGTACCCCAGTTTGTTGTGAGATTTGAACTTGTTTTCTGGTCTCTCCTAGGCAAAAGCTGCAGCAAGGGCGCTCTCTTGGGATCACATCCACAATTTTTGGATTGAAAGATTGTAAGGTCGAGAACAATTGACTGTTATTCGATCCAACCACTGTGTGAGCTTAACATGAGAGTGTCGTCGTGATAGAATTACTCTATAGTTTATAATATCCATTCCAGATGTTGTTTTCTCCTCATTTGTTATTGGGCTGCCAGGTGATTTTGTATGCTTCACATGAGAATGCTTGCTGTGCCAAATTAATCTGAGATGGCAGGAAACAGAATAGCTTTGTCAACTTCTCACTATGCCAACCCATCTAAGATGGCAGCAAGCGGATGCATGTCAACTCTGAGAAGTTATTACATGGTCCCGATCAATAATAGCGTGACATAATAAAAGTGATACTTTTTCTTGAATGTGAAGTTGTGATTGGTTGGGACATATAAAAATTTCTGGTCAACTCCTCACTCCCTGTCTGGGCTATGACCCCATTTGACTGTCAGGAGCCCGGACTACTTTGTTTGCTTGGTAAAGTATGCACGAAATGTATTATCTATTGAAGGAATTGTACTATTTAAATGATTGGATGGATGCATGCTTCTGGGTCGGGTTAGGCTTGGGTTGCATGGATTCATGGTTTTTAATATTTTTGGCACTTCTTAGCTTCTTTGGTTGGATTAGACTTGTCATGGTTTGAAGGAGTCACTTCGTGCAAATAATGCTAAAAGATACGTCTGTTTTAGTGAAATGTGTGTGTTTTTAGTGAAGCCTTGCATTACTAAATCTCTTATTTTTACAATATATATCTATCTTTTTTTACAATATATTTAAATGTATTGGCAATTTAAGATACCAATTCTCCATACAATCTTGAGATTGTGACTATGTTTTATAGTTAAACGGCAGTGAGTTTTGTAATCAGGTGATAAGAGGATGGTTAGAAGGGGGATTCATGTGCATGTGGTACATAGATAGGAACCGAGGTTTAGCCAATGAATGAGCCTTCCGGTTATTATGAGATTTGAAGATGATTTGATGTATGCAGCGTTACTGTTACTGTTACCATTACTTCCGCATTGGGAGGGGTTATTTCTAAATGCAATTTCTTACCTTCGAAATCATGATTTATAAGTTACAATGGAGTAACTTTACGATTGTGCCTATCCTAGCCTTCTAAAATCGGTTTGAGAGAAATGCAATTCCTTGCGGCTCACATTGACATTTATGTTTATGTTTGTTGTTCCTGTGAAATAAGAAAGTATATTTCATTATGGTACCTAATGTAAAAAAAGTTAAATAGTTGTTTCCGATGGAACTTCATATTTAATTTGCATGAGAAAAAAAAAAGTTCAACGTTGGTTATTCAAGGAGTTCTAATGATACCAGTGCAGCTTGTAGACTTGTAGTAGTGGTAAACCGTGGGAGAGAATTGTTAGGCTTTGACCTATTTATACCTACTCACTTTTTCATCCAAATTCGATGTGCAACAAATCTTCCCTTGTAACAACTAGCCTTTATCTGCCAACACTTCGACCTATTGGAGGCTGGAGCATACGGTGTACCGTATCCTCTCCGTGATGATTCTATATTATTCATGAATTTTGTAATGGTTCATGCGTAAGCAAGTCAGGTGAGTAGTGTCTTGGAACCAGAAGTCAAAAACACTTGAAGTTGTAATGAAATTCACTATCAAGGAACCGTAGTAAATCGTGACTAGAGATTATATTGATTCACATGCAAAATTGCTAAAACCTTGGGGGTTGCTTGATTCATAAAAAATAAAAAATAAAAAAAGAATTTCAGAGACCTGTTTAGTTGACAATTTCATAAAACTATTTTATAGAAACTCAGTTAAAAAACTGTCTAATTTCATAAAACTGTCTTTCATGGTTTTCTTAAAACAGTTTTTTACTTTATGAATTTTTTAGAACTATTTTCTGACATGGGAAGTTTATCATTTGAACCAAATGGTTATAGTAGAAGCATTTCTATTGATACCTGGAAAACCCTAAGACAGAATCTGAGTTTTTGAAACATTTGGATTAATCCTCTGCAACATATAATTTCGTGAAGGGCAGTGTTGATCTTAATTTATAAGCCAAACAAATCTTCAGGGTTACTTTTTTCTAGGGTAGATAAAATACTCATCCAACGTACTTTTCTCATTATATCTTATCCATAGTTTGTCCAACTTGACAACTTGTGGGGTATGCTCGACACTACTTTTCACACTGACACAAACTAATGCTACATTGGTAAAAAGAAAAGGACGGGTGAAAGAAAAATTGAATGGAAGGAACAAATTTTAATAAGAATTATGAGTGATTCTTTTTCTTTTACAAATTTTTATCCGTTATTTGAGCAAAATGATAAAAAAGAAGACGAGTGAACCTATAATAAAAATTTTAAATTATTACATCATAAATATTTAATAAATTCTATAAATAAAGTAAGAGACGAATTTAATGATAAGAATAACTTAAAATTTTATTTTTTTTTTATCCTACCTATCAAATTAAATTGTCAATTTCATTCTTTTCCATCTAACCTAACAAAAAGATAAAAACGTTTAATCTCTTTCCTAGGAATGTCTCGGTCATCCTTTCTTCTCTCCCTTCCATTCAATTTTTTTTCCTTCCAACCCAACGAAAAATAAGAGAACCAAATTAATTACTCGACACCACTTCGGACTATAAGAGTCTCAAATTGTTAATGCATCAATACCTAATCATAAAAAAAATCTCTCAATTGTCAATATATACAGAAGTTGATCATATGGTGATATTGATATTTGGCTAATCATATGGGCAACATCAAACTCAGTGCAATCATTTGGCAACCAGAGAAAATACTATATCCTTCAGATTTTGTTTAGTGGAGAGGATTACATTAGAAAAAGATATGAGCTATTGTAACTTGTATATCCACCAATATTTCAGAAAATGGCATACTACAGGGTCCAATTGTTTGGATGTAAATTTTTTTTTTTATTTTTTACTGTTTGGGCCCCCACCATATGATATCACCATTATGTAATGTAATGGGACCCACCACCTCTCTCACATAAATTAAATCCGGAAACATAAATTAAATCCGGAAACGGTCCCTCCATGTGATAAGTTCAAGGAGCCAACAGCTAAAATGAAGTTGAATTAGCATTTGGAATGGTGCAAATAACTTGCATAGCTGGGAGAGATTGGTTCATCCGCTGGAAAGTTCATGAAAAGTAACATATCCTCGACATATATACCATAAATATCAGCATATATTTGACTGGAGCTACTATGCTTATGTGTCACATCAATCACTGTGCAAATGTGTTAGCCAAAAAAAGCGAAAGAAGAAAGGAACTTCCCCATGTAATGACTTGAACATGACCCAATAATTTGGTATCCATTCATTCCCTGGTTGTATTGCACAGTGGCTCTCAACAGTCCAATGACCAGCAATCCCTGCCTCAGAATAAATAAACAAATAATGTGAGAGAAAAGAAAAAAGAACAAGAAAAAGTTATGGGTATTGGTTCTTTTCAACATTGCATTGTTTTTTTAATCCACATCATCTACTTTGTGGATATTTGTTCTTTTCAACCTTGCATTGTTTTTTGACCTACATCATCTCATCTATACTCAATGCCTTGATAAGAACCTCAATTTATCATCTAACCTTCAAAAATATGCTGGCTCAGGATATTAATTTAAGAATATAAACAAACGATTTTTAATGATTTCATTAAAATTTCTTTCAAATGAGAGATTTCATCAATCCTAGTAAGAATTTCTTCAAGCATTGTGTAGAACATAGTACTAGTGCCCTAAAGCTAGTGCAATTTGGTTCTATTTTTGAGAACAGTGATTGAATTTAGTGTGTATAAAAATTAGTTACAGATAGCAAAATACTATGGTGTTATCTGAATTATATAAGAAATGCTTCTCAGAAAACCAAAACCTAACAGCCATACTATGAGAATTTGGACTTGATAATACATCTGCCAACACTACAGCCAAGGGACATAAATATTAAGAATGATTTTTTGGAAAAGAGAAAAGAGAACCTGAGATGCCACAAAGATGCAAAAGTGAAAAGGAAGATTGCAAAAGGAATGGGAAAAAGAGAATGTTAGGGCCCAAAGGGCATCCCTGGTGTCAAGTGGTACACCAGTCACCACTTAACCCCCCCTCCTCAATCTCTCTCTCAAGCCACCACCACATTTTACATGACTGTATCTATATCTCCCACCTCAACCCTCCTCACTGATACTCTCTCTTTCTTTCTCAAGCCACCACCACTGCTTTCCCTGACTCTATCTTTATCTTCATTCTCATGCTATCTTATGCATCACTTCTTTGACTTCTTTCATCTCCCTATGCCACCAGTATCCACTACTGTATCTTTTTCCTCATCGCCACAGCTCCTAAGAGATCCTCACTCTCTCTCTCTCTCCAAAAACCCTCCGTGAACCACCACCTTCAATTAGTGAATATTCATATTCACAGTCACTCATGCAATTCATCTATAAATCATCAGTTGCTGTGATTGCTCTTTTTCGTTGTCCTTGTCCATAAACCAAGTGAAGAGACACTGGTCTGTCATTTTCATCTCCTCCTCCTCCTCCTCTCTCTCTCTCTCTCTCTCTCTCTCTCTTCCATGAACTACGAGCTTTATTCTTGAACTTTTTCCATCCGCACAATCGATGAACTACTTCCTATATAGTACCAGTTGCTCTAACTTAATCTCCATTCGACAACCACTTACAAGATGTATTGATCATCACCTCTCTCTCTCTCTCTCTCTCTCTCATGTGTGTAATAAAAATAATTATACACGTTTTGATAATTCTTTATCACAACCTCTCAGAGATACACTACCCCTCTTTCTGTAAACCACCATTTACTATTACTCTTACCTCCATCTTCATTCCCACAGCACCGCAAGGAGAAATTCATAATTTTTACTTGTCTCTCAACAGCAGGAGAGGTAAGTCATCAAAATGGCTGGAACTACATGCTATGTTCATATTGATGACTTGCCTGATATAATTCTCTCAAACATATTTTCCTTGATCTCCGACACTCGAACCCGCAATGCCATGTCCCTTGTATGCCGCAAATGGCATTCTTTAGAGCGCTCAACGCGAACCTCTATTGCACTTCGAGGAAACATAAAAGACCTATTCCTCGTCCCTACTTGCTTCTGGGCTGTCACTGATATTGACCTCTCACTCCTCTCCCCTTGGGGTAACCCACTCCTAGATTACTCCCCAAAGTCAATTCTCAGTGCTAACCTCCTCTCCAAGGCCTTCCCTTCTGTTATTTCTCTTACTGTATGTGTTCGAAATCCTTCTATTCTTCATCTTCTTGCACCTCAATGGCCCAATCTTCGCTATGTCAAGCTTGTTAGGTGGCACCAACGCTTGTCAGCTCCCCTCGGCTCTGATATCATCCCACTGCTCGAGCATTGCCATTCACTTTCATCCCTTGATCTATCAAACTTCTATTGCTGGACAGAAGATCTCCCACCAACTCTCAAGGCTCACCCTTGGGTATCGGCCTCTCTCACCCATCTTAACATGCTAAATCATTCTTTGTTCGAAGGTTTCAAGTCCCATGAGCTTCTTGCCATTACTGCTTCCTGTCCGAATCTCAGCCAGCTTCTTGCCTTGTGCTTGTTTGACCATAGATACATTGACTTTGTTGGAGATGAAACTCTATTAGCTCTTGCTTCAAATTGTCCCAGCCTTTCCCTCCTTCACCTGGCTGATATTTCTTCCTTGTCTGGTGCCAGACGGCCCAGACCTGACCTAGATGATGTTGGGTACACTTCTGAAGACGCTAACTTCAGAATTACTATGTTGGAGGACATATTCGCTAGCTTGCCATTGCTTGAAGAATTGGTTCTTGATGTATGCGAAAATGTTAAAAGTACCTGGCCAGCATTGGAGCTTCTTAATGCCACGTGCTCCCGACTTAAATCTCTAAAGCTGGGACATTTCCTTGGGATTTGTCGGGAAGTAGATTCTTGGCCAGATGGGGTGTCACTCTGCAAAGGTTTGGAATCATTGTCCATCAAGAACTCAGATGACTTGACTGATTCTTGCCTGATAGCTATCTCCCTTGGCTGTCCCAAATTGGTCAAGTTTGAGGTTGAGGGGTGCAAGAAGATCACTGCAATGGGGATAAGAAAACTGGCTTGTGTCCTTCAACAAACTCTTGTGGAAGTAAAAATCTCATGCTGCAAACATCTCAATACTAAACGCTCAATATGGGCGTTGGAACCAGTTCAAAAGCACATACGGAAACTGCACCTCGATTGTGTGTGGGAAAGCATCCAACCGTCACAAGGAAATGCCAGCAATTCATACCAATTTGCAGGAATTCCAAAATTAGGCAGAGGAAAAAGAAATGTCATTCCTGAAGAAACAAGCTTGAAGAAAAAAGACGAATACTTAGACACAAACTGCCCTAAAATTGGAGGCAATAGCAAAGAATTCTTTAAAAGGTCTTGGGCGCGCCTGCAACATCTCTCCCTTTGGATTCCTGTGGGTGATCTTTTGAATCCTCTATCATCTGTGGGGTTAGAAAATTGCCCTGTGCTAGAAGAAATACAAATAAGAGTCGAGGGTGATTGCAGGAATCAACGAAGACCTTCCGTGTGTGCATTTGGATTGAGCACCCTTGCATGTTATCCTCAACTGTCGAAGATGCATTTGGACTGTAGTGGTGCAATAGGGTATGCTCTTACTGCTCCTTATGGGCATATTGATCTGAGCATATGGGAACGGTTTTTCCTTTATGGGATTGGGAATTTGAATCTCTCCGAACTCAATTATTGGCCTCCACAGGACAAGGATTTCAATCAGCGGAGCCTCTCTCTCCCTGCAGCAGCCTTGCTAGCAGACTGCACTAGTCTTAGAAGGCTTTTCATACATGGCACAGTGAATGAACACTTCATGATGTTTCTTCTGAAAATACCAAATCTAAGGGATGTACAGTTGAGAGGAGATTACCACCCAGCACCGGATTATGATACAACTACAGAGTTGCGAGCAGATTCCTGCCGTCGTTTTGAGGATGCCTTGAATAGTCGTCACATCCAAGACTGAAAGCAGTCTGACAAAACTTTCATCCTCAATACAAATTCCTTGTTTCCCACCTCAACTCATAAACGTTGAGGCAATGTATTATGATAAAGTGTGAATTTAGGAAAATGCAATGATACTTTTCCTGAGAACTAAATCCACCAGTCCAATACATATGGAACACAATTCCAGAATTTTTAGAGCCTCCTCTTCATCTGCTAACTTAGTCCTAAAGTCTATCCTAGATGTGATCAGAGGCAAACTGACGACTATGCGATCAAGATTTTCCAGTGTCTGTACACGAATCATGCTTGAATGGGATCTTCCCTATACTTTGTTTGATGCCATTCCATCCCACCAGATAATTAATGCTGGCTTTCACTCAGCCAATGTCTGAAACAGAGTTCTCCCAATTAGAACAACAGTTACCTGTGGCAATGGCTTTTTGATTTAAAATTCATAAGCCTCGGGCCCTTTCTTCATGTAATTGATTCTGGCATTGCCTTGGTCTCGGAGTTGGGCCCTTTTCGTTAGCTCACTAGCCCATTTGGCCTCTTGAGGCCTGTATATGCTTTATACTTCAATACATTTTGTTTAAACTTCCAAAAGAAAAGGTATCAAAGAATAAATATTTCAGCAGAATATGGAGATCAAGGGAATGAAAACTCTCCAATAAAGACTGAAAACTCATAAGAAAAAAATAATAATTCTTATTCGTTAAATGATTTATTCAACACTTTTTCTAAAGTTTATGCCCTAAAGTTTAGGTATTACAATTAATTGGAGAGATAAAGAGCGATACTTTCTATGTGACAAAAACCCAACTTTTCAACACAAATAATCCTTCCAAACACAAGTTGAAAAACAAAACAAAAACAAATACTCTTAAATACTGCATGCTTTAAGATGAATACATGCTGAATAATTATGTAAGAAATCATACTTTTAAAGCACCAATACATTCCTAACGAATGCATTTTTTCCATCGGTTCTGATGCTTTCACTGCTCCAAGAACTCTATGTTTGATATTCTCTCTATTTTCGTACATGAATGCACGCCATCTATATATGTAAGTTGGCTTCCTTCTCATACGCACTTCAGTATTTGACTTCCTTTCTTCTTTTTAGTCTGTTCTGCTTAACAATTTTCTTTTGTTGCCCACATAAAGCTCCTTCAAGAGTAGCCCTTTGAACCCATCAAGCAAGTATATGGTGATGATTGCAATAGTAGATAATCACAACATATATTGATTTGCTCTTGGCTTGATTCAATCACGCAAGAACAATATAATGAGTTTCATATTGGACTTAGAGAAGAACAATATAATGGGTTTCATATTGGTTTAGAGTTATTGTGTTGGCAATTACCATGACCAAAACATGTATTGTAATTGGTGGAGACATTTTGATTTGGATTGAGTCTAGCAATTTTGGTTGATTTTACTAAGAAAGACATGTTTGAAAACTTTGATCAAAGACTACATGAAGATCTCTTATGTAGAACGCTAGGGGATATGAAAACTACGGTATTGATCATCTTGATCAAAAACCTCAGTCTGAAAAGATGTGCCACAGTTTTCTTGACAGAAAGATAAGAAGATGGCTCCATGTGCTGATTCATTATTTTGATTCTGATTCAGGACCAAGAGTTGCTCAACGTATCTGTTGATTGGAATCACGGGAATCAAATTTAGATATTTGTACCTTAAAAGTAAGGAACCATGGCATATATGCTTGGAATAGATTCCATTTAGAGAGATATTTTGGTATTATCGCCACAAAGAAGAGCTTTCTGATGTTTTTATTCTTTCGCAGGTATTGATCGCAAGGCTATATGTAGACTACCTTTGACTGATGATATACTATTCATCTCTCCGTATTATTAATTATTCTCCAAGACTGCTTCTTTTCCCAGTACTTAATCCGATCCTTACAAACAGTATGCACTCGTCACCATGAACAAACACTCCGTCTTAGTATATATGATATGGTGAAGATTAAAGTAGACAATATCATTGTTGTTGGATTGCAAAAACTTCTAAGGAACAAACAATGCACTTGTTTTTATCTCATAAAAGCTCTCTTGCTGCCTAAATGTCTCTATTCTCTTCTTTTGTACTCTCTATGTTTGCTCTATAAGCTTTTCTCAATCCTATATATTAATTTACATACAAGGGTTAATAACCTTAATTTGATCGGGCTTTGACTTTTTGTCTAAGGTTCGATTGAACCATAACTTTAATTTGATTAATTCAAACCTTTTTGTTAAAAGATCAACTGATCTGCCGTAAACCTGATCAATCAAATAGCTACTTAATTATCCATGTTTCAATCAATCAGCAAGCTACTATTATAATTCCAAACTCGTCAAAATATGTTCATTCGTCAGTTCATTATTCATGATCAATTAGGTTTTGTGTATGTACAAAATTTTAACTATTAACCATCCTAACACCTAGTTCTCTAAATTAATGTGCATATAGAAATTGTGATGAATTAGTCAATTAGACACTTTGAAAGTCCATGTTCCATCACATCTCTTTAATATTGAAAGATTAATTTAGTGATTAGCCATAATTCCATTTATTTCATTAACAATTTTGATTCATGAAATATACCAACAGTACTACTATGTTCTCAGAAACCTCTCTACCCTACTCAATTGTCCAAATAGTGCAGAAATCTTCACCCACTTTTCACTCTATTTCGACAACAATGCAACGTCTTGTCCATTTTCTAAAGCATCAAAGATTTTGTAATGTGTTTCTTAAGGAAAACAACTAGTATTTACTCGAGCATTCCCTAAGGTTTGATGAAAATTTTATGTTTGTAACAAACTACCTACTACGTCTCTCCTTTATTTACTTATAGTATTTATTTGGTTAGACAGTAAGGATGGGATACTAAGTTCAAGCCATCATTTACTAATAACACAATTCATTTTCCATAACACAAATCCACAAATTTTCCTGAATTTCATACTTCAGTTATGGTGAATTTATTGTAACTTCTCCAAGTTTACATCTTTTTCAGTTTTACAGAATATAAGTATGCATTATATCTGCAATTGAGCTATTTTAAGGAAATGACAGCCAACCCAACTCAGCTGAGCGAGAGCCTATCTACTCAAGGAAAGGCCAAATCTATCAGATACAATTCATCACTTTCGGAAGCCAACCACATTTTCTTCAACCTATTGAGACATGTAATTGTGTGGGTATACTAGACTTCCAGATTAACCAATGCCATTACATATTCAATTAATACACTAATGTCGCGTTTGGAAGCACCAAATCGGCACCTTGGAAATGGAATTGAAGTAAGGATGTGTTCGGTTACATGGAATTGGAGTCTTGGAATAGAAATTCGTGGAATTTGAGAAAAAACAACTAAGAAAATTGCCCCAAATTTTTCTTCAAATTCCACCAATTCTAATTCAAAGGCTCCAATTTCATTAAGCTGAACATACACTAAATTAATTTTAAACTTTGAACTAAATTTTCAAAAATTCCAAATTCAAAGTGCGGATTCGTTGCTCCCAAACATAGCTTGAATTAATCCAAAACAATTTAAAGCTCAGGATAAAGCATCCCTCAAAACTACACCACAAATGTTTCAAACAGCCATAAATGAAACACAAGTCTAGACATTTTAAGATATATCTTAGGTATTTGTAATGCTTCAATTTCCTTGTAATCTTAAAATGCTACATTAGAGAGATATCTAAAATGCTTCTATATAACAGATTTGTGAATCAAACCGATCAAAATAATCTCAAATAGAAATTTCACGCAAACATATATATATATAATAATATGCAGCATATATATACAATTATACATGCACACAAATAATGATCGGTTGTATGAGATACGCACAGTCAATACCAGCACACCGAGCATTGGACTCTCCCAATTGTCCTCTGAATCGCATCTAAATTCTGACTCCATTATCGTCTTTGTTTCTATGCTCCTTCTAGAGAGAGATATTTTATATAGATCTGGAAAGTAATAGTTCTACTATTGAATGCGTTAGGTTTACTAGCTATTTGTTCCACTGATGTGACAACATGCTCCGATGTGATCTCCTAAAATGCATGCATAGATCTGGTAGAGGAATTTAGATACTTTACGGGGGAAGGTCTAGAAATATCTTGAGAGTGGACCCCACATGCATAATGGATCCAATGCTCCTGAGGTGATCTACACGTCACTTATTGCTATACAATTGCAGATTAATGCAAAATGTTAGTGGAAAGTACCCAAAAATAAATAAATAAATAAGAAGAAGATATGTACTAGGAATTGATTCCGAGACTTGTACTTCATGAATTACGAAGGTTCAAGCCTTGTTTTTAGTTAGGCCAACTATTTGGGAATTGGGATTGTGAACTTAATTGCATAAAAAGGTTATTATGTGTGTAATTTTAATCAATTCATTTATGTTGTCTGGAAGCACTAAATTCATTGATATTTTGGAATGAGTAGTGATACTCACACCTTCATTTATGTTGTCTGGAAGCACTAAATTCATTGATATTTTGGAATGAGTAGTGATACTCACACTCGCAGTTGTTTAACTGAATAATGTTTAATAGGTTATTTATATCAAATATCTACTTTATTATTTGTTATATAATTGACTAATTAAAAAAGTAAGTCTAACAATTAACTATAACTATTCAGTGTAAGAATAATTTTCCTTTTGAAATTAAAATTTAAAAAAAAAAATCAATTTAAATTTCTTTAATCAATGCCATTACATATTCAATTTAAATTTTGACCTATTTTTTTTCTGAATCCAAATCCAAAGTGCAAATTTTGTGCTCTCAAATTAATCAATGCCATTACATATTCAATCAATACATTCATGTTACATTTGGATGCACCAAATCAGCACTTTAAAATTCAAATTAAAGAAAATTGAATTTAAAATAGTTGTGAATTAATACGACATTGCACCATATAAATAACTGGCTTAAAAATTGTTCTATAAGATTTCTTTTAATTTATTTATTATTTTGTTATTGCATATAACATCACTTGACCATCTATCTAAGCTATTACTAAAATTATTGTGAATTATGGTTTACTTAAAATTATTGTGAATTAATATGGAATAAGTCAACGAGAATACACTAGTTAAAAATTAGAAGATGTTTTTCAACTTTTCTTTTTTCTTTTTCCCTTGAAATGCATATGATAATGAAGCCGGCTCAAATTTCCCTATATAACAACAATTTATGTTAACTCCTCATTGTATATTACTGGGTAACAGATACTAAAAACATTTCCCAAACCATAGAGATAACTTTATCCAACTAAAAGCAAAATGTCTCAAAAATGTTGAAATGACCTTGGTTTGACATTATTTTTTTTTTTTCTTTGTTTTTTTTTTTTGTTGCAAAACTCCCCCCATTTTATGGTGAATTTACTCATCTACCCTTATTATTATATTATAAAAATAATCAAAATATCTATAAAAAAAAAAAAAAAAATAGCAAATGACCCTTTTGCCCACTAACATTTACCCACTATTCCTCTTTATTCTCCATTGCCACCAACCATCACCGGCACCTTCCACACCACCACCTTACAGCATAGAATCATATATGTATGTATATATATACATACATACATATATATACACGATGAAGCCTTTAATGAAGCTTCAGGCTCAAGGTTGGTCTTCATGTTGCTGAAATTCTCACCATGGGAATTAGCAACCCAGTTAAGAGAATGAGTCTGAAGCCGAAATCAGAAGCTGGTTCTGATTCTTCGATCACCTACGAAATCATCAAATTCGCAATAGAGAAAGCCATTTTCTCGCCTTTGAAGGGAAACCCATATAGAAAAATGGGTTTGAAATCAAAAAGTCAAATTGGGTCATCTCTCTCTCCTTTAAATTCATGGAATTCAGGAAACTAAATCATTAATAAGGCTATGGTAATACGAGAATACAAATACATTAGGATACGTATAAAAATAAATAAAAATTCTAGACATACCTCTCGTCGTCTACGATTTCGAGAAGTTCGGTGCCCCAAGCCACGGAAGCCTGGGCACGATGCGGACTTCCCTGAGAGTGCCGACGTTGCCGTCTCCGACCATGATGTGGCAGCTCTTGAGGAAGTGATTGTAGGCCTGGGGGTTGTCGAAGCCGCGGACAACAGACCAGACGACGGAGATGGGGCGGCGATAGTCTGGGTGTGATAGTGTGAGATGTTGTCAGGGACGATGATGGAGAGAGGGACGGTGATGGGTGTGGTCGCATGAGATGTCGAAACGACGGACGACGGCAGAGTAGTACTGGTTCTCGTCGCCGCGCTGATGATTACATCCTTCGATCGGTCTTTGATTCAGTGTAGGCCGATTTCAGAATTTCCTTCGGTCTTTGATGGTTGGTTGTGGTTGATACCAATGACAACCATGGACGGCGAGCGCGAAGCTTTCGGGTTTGACTTGGGGTTCGGCTTGGTTCAATTGGGTTCGTCATGGGTGCGATTGGGTTTGTCGTGGGTCTGATTGGGTGATGATGGTGGTGGTAGAAGTGGTGGTTCGAGGATTTATGGGTTTGGTTTCGATGAGGGTTTGTTTGGCAGTGATGACGGCTGCCGGTGATGTGGCGGTGGCCTTTGTTTTAAGTATTAATTTAATTTTATGAAACAAACCTATTTAAGAGGCAGTTTGGTCCCCTACCATTATAAGGATAATATGGTCTTTTACACTTAATAGGGATGGCAAATTTCCCATCTCCGCCGGGCCCCGCCCTGTTTATAGCGGGGATGGGGATTCTTTTAATTAAACCGGAATGGGAATGGGAATGGGAACAAAGTATGAATCCTCGCCGGGGCCGGGGTCGGGATGGGGTAAACCCGCACCGGCCTGCCCCGATTAAGTGTAAAGTTATTAAAATATCCTTACCCAAGTTTCTATAATTACCAAACTAGCCTATACTATATATATACCATAAATGTTAGAAACTCTGAAACCTTGTCCTAAATCCTAATAACCCAAGCGGCGGCCTCCTCCTCCCTTTACCATCTTCTCTCTTTCTCTCCTAAGTATTGACAACATCGGCTCTTTCGCTTCCTTCCCAATCTGTCTTCGACATCGTGTCTTCCCCCTCATCGGCATAGGCTCTTTCCTGTCTGATTCCATATCGAAGTTTGTTCATTTGCATATGCAAGTGTGTGTGTGTATATATATATGTGTATATATATATATATGTGTATATATTGATTTTGCTCTAGTTCTATCTGTAATCCAAATCTCACTGAGGATAAGCATTTCTCCTTTTTTATTGAAGAAATTCTTGTTCTTGTTCTGATTTGATCTGATCTATTATATATATATGCATGTGTGTATATAATTCTTGTTCTTGTTCGTGTGATCTGATCTATGATCTGATTTGAAAGTGGTTGAAGAAATTCTTGTTCAACGTCTGTATACGTGTGTGTATATATATATATAATAGATCAAATCATGTTGTTTTTTTATTGAATTGTGATTTTTATTTTTTTCACAATTGGAACTGAGATTTTTTTTTTTTTTTTTTTTCAATCGGAACTGTGATTTTTTTCTTTCCTGTATAGGTGTGATGTTGAGAAGCTAGAAAATTTAATCGGGGGCAGGGCGTGACGGGGACAAGGGCGGGGATGATGGTGGCGGGGACGGGGGCTGGGATAGGGGTGAGATTGAAATTTTTAACGGGGATGGGGGCGGGGATGGGGGTAAAAAAAAAGAAGAGTCAAACCTCGGCAGGTTACAAGAAAATGACAATCCTTAAGTTTAGTTGTTGTAACGACCCAAACTCGAGGGTCCGAATCACTAACCGGGTCCTTATCCGAAGCCGAGGTCAACTAAAGACACTACCGTCCTTTCATACGTCAATATATATAATATACATGTTGTCGCAGGGTTTTAAAAAAAATAGCAATAGCAATAATAATAAAATGAGATCATAGTTACGAAATATGACAAAACAGTCCACTGACCCATCGAACCCTGTGGAGGAGCGTCGTTCGCCACTTCCCTTCCGTGTCCTAAAAAAATTTAATAATAAAGGGGTGAGCATAAGCTCAGTAAGAAGTGTCTAAGACACATTTCTTATGACCCTGTAAAAACACATATAGAATAGAAAATAAGATAACAGGATTATACTATACCGGGAATGTATACCATAACCACAGCACCTAATATAAACACATATACCATCCAAGTCACAATCACGCCATGTATGCCAATTAAGTGCAATGACATGCTCATGTCACTCCCTATTTTCCGAAACATTTCCGTTTCAACATCCAAACCGCTAGTGTTATCCGACCCATAGCATCTCTATGGCGTCACGAAGAGAGGGTTGACTAACTATCTACGACCACAAGGCACCTCCAAGGCGTCGCATCCGGCCTAGTTAGCTCAACTATACTCCCCTTTAGACTACACTAACACCACAGACCATTAGGCGCCTCCTAGGCGTCCAGTTTTCACAAACCCTTTTACCCAAAATCATTTCATTTACTTTCGAAACATTTTTCCCATTTTCCTTTCCCAATGGATGCATAAATGCGTCATGCTTCAATTAGTTAATTCAACCATACAACTTTCACACGTACTTTGCAATTCAAATCTCTAAAATAGGTAATCATGCTTCCCTTTAACATACATACAACACATAAGAAACTTGCAAAAATTCAAGTTAATTAGGCATACAAAATACAAATTTTCATTACACATAGACATGCTTCTCATAATATCATCAACACACATAGGCATAGACTTTCTAACACAACAATCATGTCATTCTCAAGGCAATCAATTTAAATAGAGCATGTTATTCATACAATTTTGATTATTTCACATGTTCATATATTTCATCTACACAAATCAAGTTACTTCAAAATACAATCAACACTATTTAGCATGTTAAAACATAATTCAAGTAAAATTAACTTACTAAGGTGCAAGATTGTATGGATTAGAGACCCCTACCTCAAAAGTAGCCAAAATATATCCCCGGGCGGAAAAGTCAACGCCGGTCAACAAAAGTCAACGCCGGTCAACGGAGGCGGAACAGAAAACTGTTCAG